CTTTTGAGGATGGGGGGTGGGGGTGTATGAGGGTGTATTGGGGGTGGGTATGGGGTTGTTGGTGGGGTTATAAGGGGTTCTGGACCCGAAAAGAAATAAAATAAAATAAAATTGGTGGGTGCTGACGAACCCCAACCGGTAGGTGCCGACCAGCCGACCAGTCAAGGGCCGTCAACCGTCCGGATATGCAACACTGGTCTCTTCAACATAAGGACGGTAGTTCCAAAACGGGTCTCCCCTGACGTGATGAGTTCTGATGCCCTCTTCGGAATCTTCTCCCCTTGTGTGATCGCCCCCGCCCTCTTCTGGTTCCCTTCTCCCTGAACATGGCAAGAGTTGGTCCATGTAATTGATCAACATTTCGTTCTGGTGGTGCGTGATAAGATAGTTGTATCTTTGCCCTGAGCAATCGCCCTTGCAACTCACAACACACCTACAGTGTCCATCATGAGCAGGTTGCAGATGTGGCAAGCAACAGCCACCTACGGGATGCATTGTATGACAGGGTCATCATGTTTTGCAAGAATGTTCCTGGCCGAGATGTTCACCTGTGCAGAATCAGTGCACATTCCATCGACCTTGTCCACACCCAACTCCCTAATAACCGCATCCTACGTCTTTGCCAAGGCCAGTGCTGACTTGTCCTTTCCCTCCATGTCCACGGTTTTCACCATCACTGCGCCCTTTTCCCATCCAGCGATGAAGTTCATCGCCGGCCTGTTACTGGTTGTCGTCATACCATGTCTTGATTTATGCATGGCATCTTTGCTACTTTAGAAATTCTCTTTATTTTCACTATTCTCTTCACCTGTCTTCCGTGCTCTCTCTCTCTCTCTCTCTCTATCTATCTATCTATCTATCTATCTATCTATCTATCTATCTATCTATCTATCTATCTATCTCAGAGGTTCTTTTTTTCCCTACATTTAATTATTTCCTTTTTTATCCGCTTTTTCTCAGCTTTTCTTTCTTTTTGTGCCAATTGCTTCGTTCAAGTTCCAAAAATTTGAAGAGAAGGCACAGATTTCCTCAAGCAAAAGAACTTCAGCAGCTTAGAATGGTTTTTATATAGTAGAAAGGAAGATCTAAAATTGATTGCCTTGACACACAATACAAGCATTAGGACAACTTACTGTGTGTTTAGGCCGACAATGCGAAGGCTAGGATTATGCAGAAGAGTGTAGTAACCAGCCTTCCGAACCGAGCTCTCACATTCCGCTGGCAGCCATTCTTTCCACAGCTCCCAAGTCAGGTCCATCAGCCATTTATTGCTTGGTGGAAGTGGAAACTGCAACCAAGCACATTCCAAAGTGTTGAGACGACTCAGGTGTTTTCACAACCCAGCTCCAAGAAGCTCACACCATCAACATTGTGCATAAAACTCACAATGTTCAATGAATGACAATCGCAAGATGTAGCAAAGTGACCAACACCAAGACCAAGGAAGGACAAGAGCAGGAGGAGGAAGATAAACAAAAAATATAAACAAAAAATCATAGTCAATTGATACATGTCTTTTCTCACCTTCCCCCTTCTTCCTCTGGGCACTCCTCCCTCCTATTGCCATCTCAGCATCATCATCCTAACCCGCTACCAATGATCAAGCCAGTATCTCTCTCTCCAGCAATTCACCAACATGCAAAGTCACTCTGATTTCGACTTAGGCGCCCCTGGGTGCCATATTTCCACCCCTGACCGTAGGCCTAGCGATCTTTTTTTTTTGTGTGTGCGTGTGTGTTTAAAGATCCATGTCGTAGTAGAGGGTGGATGCTAGGCCTTGGGAGGCCTGTCATCGTATTCAACCAGTGAGGAGGTCAGATGACTTGTGACAACCCCAAGGAGTCTTCCTCAGGGGGCATCATTCGTGACCTGTTATATCCTAATATTATCGCAAGTCGAGCCCTACAGCAGTGCGACCCAGACCTCTCTATCTAGACCTAGACCCACACCCACCCGCTCCTTCCGAGGAGTTGCAGACCCACGTCCCACCGGGCGCTACCATAGGGACACCCTGGCCTACCGATCTTTCATAAGGGTTCGGGTTCAAACTTCAAACCATAGTTGCGGCGCATTGAGGTGCGCGCCTTAGCGCACGTCCGGCGCACCTCGCGCACCGCACCGCGCATCGCACCCGTTGCGGCGTAAAAAAAAAAAAGGTCCGCCCGAAAAGGAAAAAAGTGCAAGGCCTCTCTCTCTCTCTCTCTCTCTCTCTCTCTCTCTCTCTCTCTCTCTCTCTCTCTCTCTCTCTCTCTCTC